ACTGGCATTCTAAATTAAGTTAATTTCAACAGACATGCTCAGGCAGTGGCATCTTGTGGTTTGTCATATATGGAAACCTTCATTAGCGATAAATCAGGCTAGCTAGTTTTGTTCCTAAGGACAAAGTTAATTTCTATCATCTACACCTGGGAGTTTTATATAGCCACTAAGGTTCATCCCGAAAACCTTTTTTTTTTATTATTATTGTTATGATATGAATTTTTCTTATACCGCAATACCGGTTTAAATAGCCTACACAACGTTCGGAAAGTAGCGCAGCTGGAAACTGTTTAGGGAGGGACCTTTTTCACTGCTGCACCACTAAAAATGTACCACGGAAGATATAGCTCACGCTGTCAAAAATCGATTCTCAGATACTAATTCATATTAAAAATTAGTATCTGATTAGATACTTATTTTCACCATTATTGATACCAACAGTGCGGTTTTCGCCTCATTCGCCACACAGCACCACTACAGCGCGTACACGCACGCACGCGCACACACTCGCGCGGCCCCTCCCCTCCTCCCAATAGCCGCTGAACACATTCGCGCTGGTTAACACACACGTACCGAGTTGGCCGATCATGGCATATGCTGCAGTTGAAGGCACTTCGCAAGCTGCTTTAATAATAAAAAAAAAAACCGGCAAAAGTGCCGTTTGGAAGTATTTTGCAGCCGAGCATGGAAAGCCTAAGGATATTAAGTCAAGTAGCACGTCAAATTTGCCGAAGCATCTTAAAGACCGACATCCCGGTCTGTATGAGATATTTCGCGAGGTCAATGAAGCTCGCGTTCCAGCAACAATGGACTATTAAACACTTATAAAAAATGTTAACTTGGCTGGCGCACACCTTAACATTAGGCGTTTATTTTATTTTATCAGGAAGGTTCCTTTGAGATACAATATCTATTCTTCCAGGAAGAAGATGGAAACAAATAAGAAAAATAAGACAAAAGTTTCATATATATACACACAGAGATGATTAATATAAACTAGTGCTGTCAAACGATTAAAATTTTAATCAGATTAATCACAGGGTTGCTGTGGATTAATCACGATTAAATATCATTCATTTTTAATCTATATTAATCGAATTTCATTTTGCATGAGCAAACAGACTCAAGAAAAAAGGGAATATATATGCACTTAACATGTTTATTGAACATCTTGAACACGAGTCGGATGAGTTTGTGGATTTCCCTGCTCAGATGTACATACTAACCCTGGTAATTAGCTGATTGTGATATGTTTCAGCTGGGAAGTCTGTAAACCGTCAGATTCTGGCTCTCCAGAACCAGATCTGAGGAGGTAAACTACTTATTGTATTGTATTAACAGCTGATTCCTACATTCTGCCCCTATAGTAACAAGGGCATTTGAAAACTACACAGAGGGAGGAAGGGCAGACATTGTTTCTTTGTGGGCCACCGTGCCCTATGGGCAAAGCTCGTCTTTCATAGGTAGACACCGCCAGTATAGTCTCAAGGTCTTTGCTGGATTTCTGTGCTGGGAGCTGTTTGTCATGAACAGCCACAGTTTGCAGCCCTTGAAGGTACAAGCATAGTGTGGTTGAGATGGTGCCCTGGTGGAGCTGAATCTGCACTATGCTGTCTAGCACTGCAATTGCCTGCTGTCTTGTGTGTGTGTTTATCAGTCAATGAGTTTGTTTGGAAATGTCATTCAGATATGATGTGGTTGTTTGTGGAAGAATATTTTGAGAAATGGCATTGTAAAAAAAATAAAGCATTTGTTTCATTTTCGTTTGTTTCCACATCCTTAAATTTATCATTCACTTAAATCTACTGGTATGTTGTCATTTCACATTTTAATAGTGTGATTTTAAACTATTATCTTGCATTAAAACAGCGTTGATGGTAGATGGGCTGCGAGGACCTCTGTGGAGTGCCGTCCATTTGCAAATGTCCCTCTCCTGACTCCAGTGCCCTGAACACCATGTGCAGGATTCGTTGGTATCAGTGTTAAGCTGAATGATGTTATGTTAACTTGAAATACTCGACTTTCTGAAAATCTCTTGCCAACCAAGCAGCTTTGCTGAAACCTGCTGCTTTTTGCACAAATGTTTGGATTTGGATTCAAATCCGTATGAAGCCAAGGGTGATTGCACTATGGCTGACCTGCTGTGTTTCTCCTGGGCTTCATCACCAAGCTCCAACAGTAACACGGAATTGGACGTGCTTGGTAAAATTCGGTACAATACAGAAAAAGAACACACTCTTGAAATTGGAGCTGTGCTGGGCTGTGCCAGAACAGCCTACTTACTGACTTTGCCTCTGTAAAACTAAGATTTGCCGTGACCAAAAACCCAGACGTTTTGCTCCTACAGTACCTGCTCTAAGTGCAGGGGGTTAGGAAGGAGCTTCAGTTATGCACTGATTTTGAGCAGGACCCCCCCCCGGGGACTCGTGGGACAGGTTTAGCAGTGTGTTTGTGTGTGTCCTGTTCTGTCAAGAGTTTGCTCCTTTTTATGGTTACCTGTTGTTGACCCAAACCAAAATAAGACCTCTTGTGTATTGCACGTGGATGAAATAAATTCATCTATTAAATATGATCTAAAAAAAAATAAAACTTTTCACAATTGACATTTGTGTGTTTTCAAGAGTGGGTTTGAAGGGAAATTCTCCTGGAAAGTGCAACTAAAACAAAGAAAAAATAGATACATTTCTGCTGCAGTTTGAACTGGATGTTGATAGGGCCCTGTAGACATGTGCTGTATGATTTGGTATTATTTTATTATTACTTTCTTTTTCTTTACTATTAGGTGCTCAGTTATGCCACATGTCCCTGATGGTAGAAATTATGCAAATTATAAATCTTCTGAGATTATACTTTGATCGAACCTTTAACTTGTGTTTTAACCTGTAAAATACTGAAATGATACCCCTGGTTGAGTTTGCTGTGGTAAAATTTAAATGTGGAGATGGGCAGTAAACTTGCATATGCTACACCAGCATGTAACCACAAGGTGGCAGTATAACCCAGAGCACTAGCATTGTGATTAGGATTAGATCCGTCCTTTATGCAGCCTGTTCCTGAACACAGTAGAGTTTATTATTTAGCTGTTTTTTATTTTGCGTGCAATTTAGTGTGATCACTTGCAGCTGTATGTTCACCCTTTTACCCCATAATCCATAGCAAATTTAATTATATCCACAGTACTGCTGAATGGACACTTAAACCTGAAAAGAGCAAGTAATATATGTCACTAATTGTAATTAAAATTCTTTGTAATAAAACTTTGTTTTCTTCCTTATAAAAAAGACAACTCTTAGGATTGATTTTATTTTACTTCTAATACTGCTCTGATTTTAATGATCCAGAAATAATTAATGTCTTATGTTTGATTGAATGACGCCAAAAGCAGGGTATAGTGAGGCTCCCGCTAGGAACCTAAAGAGCCTGGCTGCCTCCCTGGGATGTGGGCATCAGCCTGGCACTGTTACCTGCTCTGTGGGCATCAGCCTGGCACTGTTACCTGCTCTGTGGGCATCAGCCTGGCACTGTTACCTGCTCTGTGGGCAAGGTGGGTATGCTGGCCTTCAACAAGCCTCTCTTTGTGATGTGGTGCTGGACCCCCTGCTCAGCACTGCCAGCCTTGGGGTTCTGCCAGGGCTTCCTGACCCAGAAACCCCTCCCCCAGAAACAGGGGGCTACTGACCGCAAAACCAGTGTCCACAGTGCTAATAGGACTGAGTTCTGCATGACTAAGTATTTGAAAAGTTAGTTTTCCTGGGAATTTTAAACTTGGGAAAAGCCTTTAGAATATTGCACTCAGAGTGTATTTGCATAAAGGACAGCACTGCTCTGGTGTGTACAGCTGTTGGTATGGAGCGTCTTCTCCTTGGAGAGCTTCGGTTCTTGGCTTGATCTTAACTCAGGACGACAACGTCACCCAGATGGAGCTGAACGCGGAGATGACGTTCACCAAGACGCGTCTTGTGTTACCCTGGCTGCCATGTTGACTGGACTGCTTTGTGGCCGGGGAAAGGGGGGGGGGGGCAACGCTTCTTTGGTGTCATGCGGTCGGGTGTTGGGTTTCTACCCGAGCCAGGTCATCGGGACCAGCCGGTGTGATTGGCTGAGATTGCAGAGGGCTTCAGCTGGTAGACATCGCTGACACCAGGACTATTGTCTGGAGTCACTGGGACAAATCTTACAGGCCGCTTCGCTTGACAGCCGGTAATCGGAGTTTTTGACGCGTGACTCATGGGTGCTGATCTGAAATCTGCATCTGATGCTGTTTCAGCTTTCATTAAATCCCCCCCCCCCCTCCATTCCCCAACTGCAACCACTGCTATTAATGCCTGTGTATTTTGCTCTGAATGTAGGGCAGGATCCTGTAATAATCGGGGTGGGGGCTGGGGGTTGACCAGCCTCATACTGTGACTCACAACCATGCAATTAGATGGCGTCGCTCTCCACTGGAGCACATTGTCTGCCTCTGTGTCACTGTGGCCTGTTTTAACCCCTCACATGCCACGTCAATGGCAGCCTGTCCTCGGGGTGGGGGGGGCTGTCGCTGATAAGCCACTGTGCAAAGGGAGTTTGGCTTGCATGGACAGCTGGGCTCTCATGGTGTGCAACGCCTGCGTGGGATGGTGTGTAGAGGCTCAGCGTGTGAGTACGTGCGGATTACATACGGCCAGTGCCACGCACGGCCTGACAGGGAGGTGGAACATTTTAACGCAATGCTCCAAAAAAAATGCGCCTCCGTCATAAGGGGAAGTCTGTTGGAGCTCGAAGTCCCTCAGAACTCTTTGAAATTTGCTGCCCTCGCCCTCGTCAGAGTGCAAAGTTTTATGTAAAGACTGGTTCCCTTTTTAGGGGGTCCAGCTTGCACAGAAAATCACAAAGCAGCAAAAATACCCCCCACCCCTTAACCACAGAATTACATCGCTTGCTGCCAGAGGAGCCCAATATCACGGTACTGTCCTGCTCTTGTTTACGTACGACGTCTCTGTCACACACAGCTGCTCCTTTGCTCTAACCTCATATCTGTCGCTCCACATTAACTGGCAGCCATTTTTAAAAATGAATGCCACATTTCAGCGCTTTTAATAAGCCCTGCAACTTCAGCCTTGTGGTTGTTTTTTAACTTTATTCACAGTAATGTGATACAGAGGCCAAAAGTTTTTAAAAAATCGCATTATATGTATTAACCAAGGAAATAAAACAATGTAATTAAGCTCACCAGAGCCTTTTTTCTGTGTTATTTTTCTGTTAAAGGGCACCGTCTGGAGTGCAGCTGAAAGGTTGGGCTGAGCTGTCACACACATGTGCAGGCCTACGTTCATTCCAGCACACGCTTTCTCACGTGACCCATAACTGCCCTTTCAATAGAGTTTCTGTACCTAGGAACTTTTGCTGAAGTTCCTTCCGCCCAAGGTGGGAGGCCCATTTAACCATAAGCTCAGCCCTTGAAGAAACAGGGGAAAGCGTCTCTTTGGCACCGAAGGAAACACTCGTATGTCACATGCATAAGTGAGTCTGATACTGCTCACACTAAGCGGCAGAGGTGCTTTTCTAAAGTCCCTCCAGGCACGTGTGTGCCACAGATTTCTCAGCCAGGTCTGTGGGGCACCCAAACAACCACAAATGGCAGCTGGACGCTATGAACTGCTGCCGCCATTTAAGCAAAGACCATCTTACGGTCTTTCGGCTGTCAAGTGTGGTACATATGTGTGAAGCTTTGCGCACAGTCACCTGACTCCGCCCACCATAACTAACCCCGCCCCCCCCCCGCTCTAAAAGTGATACTGTGAGACAAAGAGGGTGACCCGGGTAATGTAACGGCCCAGCATGCTCCCCTTCTCCAGCTCGCTCATCTCCACCTCGGCCTCCAAAGTGGCGGGGCCCTCCACTGGCCGAGTCAGCATCAACTGTCCGGTTTGGCGGTCTGAGCGCTGCACGGTGAAGTGTTGCCGGCCGCGTGTCCCTAGCAGCCCGAAGCGCAGCGTGTCACCTAGCATGCGTGTGGCGGACACCCGGAACAAGACCCGGGGGGCTGGAAGGTTGGACACCACCGACAGGAAGTGGAAGCTGACCGAGTTGGGAGCCTTGAGGCACCCCTTGTTATCCACCGGGCAGGGGTTCCGCTCACAGCGCCTGGATCAGAGACCGACATGGGAACCGGGGTGTCATTCTGGCTGTTAAGTCTTCATCTGGATCACGAGAGAAGTTAAACAAGAAGCTAAACGTGCCATCCTTTCATCTTCCATACCCGCTGAGTATGGAACACGGACATTCACACTCAGTGCACATTCAGTATGACACAATCCAAAAGCACCAGCACCCTTAGGAGGGTTTTGTGCTCCAGGAAGGAAGGAATCCCCCAATCCCACAATGCACTGCAACCTGCCGCACGCCATAACCCCATGCAGAGCGCCGGCTCTCACGTAGCTGAGGTCTGGGAGTAGGTGGCGTTTCTGATGCGGGGGCACTCCACACGCACACATTGGAAACCCCCGTAAGTGTTGACGCAGAGCTGCTCCTGGGTGCAGGTATGCTGCCTGTCAGCACATTCGTCCACGTCTGCACAGCCGGAGAAGACAGTGGTTAAGGCATAGCACACAAAAAGTGCCGGTCAGTATAATATTACCTGCATTTTGATTGCCTGTTTGCTCTGGCTAAAGGAAGCTATGTGCTAGCATAGGAAGATCTCCAGGGGGATGATGCTGACCCTTGCAGCCACGGCTGTCCCGTGTGACGTTATATCCTGAGGGGCATGTGCAGCGGTAGCCCCCAGGGGTGTTGACACAGTTGTGGAGGCACAGACGTCCCCCTTGGCCCTCATGGAACAGTGTGCACTCGTCGACATCTATAATGCAAAGGTATACAAGTGACACTGATAGAGATCTCTGCCTGGCCCTTAACGAACCTTAGTATTCCCTAACAGTGCAGTGGATGGAGCAGGACACTCCCAGAATGCACCTGGCTTGTACGTGGCATAGGAAATCAAATACTTATTACTACAATCACACAGAAGAGAGAATCTTTATTTATCCCATTGGTAAACTGGGTTTATGCCTACCCATCACGCTTGGTGCACATAACAGTAGGTTTGTGGGTCACGGCACCTGGCTGACCAGCATACCCAAAGAAATTGGGGGTCACTCTGTTGGCCACGGGGTTTGATTTGAACCCAGGATCTTCTGTTTACTAGGCAGTAGTGATGGACAAAATGATGTTTCATGAACCATTTGCTGTATTTTTTCACCCCACTAGATGGTGCTCTGCTCAAAAAAGGGCACAAAGCAACCTAAGAGCACCCTTTAGTGGGGTAAAAGAAAAAAAACAGCAAATATTTCCTGAGTTGTTGCTTCGGCCATCACTATTAGGCATCACTATTTAATCACTAAGCCACAGTGCTTCTGCCTTTTGAAAGCCTGATTCTTACTCTCGTTCATAGGCACTGCAGTGATAGCATGGTTATAGTACATCTGCGTAGGATGGTTCCAGGTCGGACCTGTGCAGAGGCGGTTGTCCGGGCCAGAGATGGCGAAGCCGGCTTCGCAGGAGCAGCGGGTCGATCCCTGCAGCTGTGTGCACTGCGCCGGGTGCACGAAGGGCGAGGGAGGCGGGGATGGGGAGATGGGCGAGGAGCCATTGATTACAGTGCTGAAGACTGTGGAGGAGGAGATGGAAGACGTAAGTAACACAACAGCGTCCAACAGATAAAAAAAAAGGTGGACCCCGACCCACGATGCACTGCTGCTGGGGTGGGGCTGACATCCTGTCCTCAGCACAGCTGCAAGCTCCACCATAATTAAAAGGATTAGAACTGGAACGGAAGAGTGATGTGAGTCAGCGTGTCCCGGTTAAAAAAAAAAAACCCACATGCCCTTGGAAGCCAAACAGCCGGCAGGTCCTGTTCACATACAGAGGCCTCAGTCAACACTCAAACAGCTCTACATTGATTTTGCTCGTCCAATCAGGATACAGGATAAGGAGTTACAGTAGAGCCTGTGTATACCACCGGCAGCCCCCCCATTCTCATTGCCACACACCTCTGGAGCAATCAGGGACCCTCATTAAACAACAAGAACTCTTCTGCCCTCAGCCTTACAGAATGGGTGACTGGAACATAACGGCATCCACTTTAGGTAGTGATCCGTATCGCTCCAAATGAGCAGCACCTGTAGCCACTCGGGTGATCACGTTCTTGCTCTGATTGCTAGATAATGGCTCATCGCATCAGACTACCCAACCCCCACCCCCCAACCATGAGATTAAAAGCTTCTCGACCTGAAAGGGGCTGTTTGTAGCTTATGCTGTGTTTCAGGTTAAGCACCTTTTCTCAAGGGTGACAGATAGAGCATCTGTCCTGCAAATGAACTTTATACCTGCCTTTCCTTATTTACAAGCATATAATGGATGCCGTCTGCTTCAGCGTCTGTTAGCACAGCCTCTAAAAGGCTCTGGAGAATGTCGCCATTAAAAGTGAGATCGTAAACGAATGTAATCATGTATATCACTCACACTACATTTTTATTAGCTACAGATAGCATCAACATCACATCCAGGCAATGTTTGGTCAATGAAAACTTTTTTTCCCCTCAAAACTCACTGAAAAACTTTCAGAACGATTTACATGTGAGTTACATGTAGGTCAACAACAGCATAACCTTACATCATTAAGTAGTGTTACAGGGATTTTATATCAGCATTTTAATGTCAACAATGCTTGGCACGTGGATGAAATAAATTCATCCAGTTCCCAAAACTGCCTGTCCAGCAGAAAGTCACAGTGAACCTGGATGGGATGCCAGTCCATCAAAAGACATATACTTACTCCAAATTTGTGGGGGCAGAAAATGAACCATTTAATTGCCTTTAGGTCCATTTGTACAGCTGAGCTTAACCAAAACATAGAAATTGACAGAAAATCAAGGCTACACTGGAAAGGAATCCAGCCCAGTACAGCTTAACTGAGGCACAATTAGTAGGAGAAGCACTGTGTACTCACAGATAAGGGTTGGGGTTTGGCAGGAAGGACCCATCCAGTTTTTGGGACATAAGCAGATAAACCGGTTCACGTCATCCACACATGTTCCTCCGTTGAGACAGGGCGCGGAAACGCACTCGTCCACGTCTGGGAAAAATCAGTTAATTAGAGGCAAAAGCTATAACCAAAATAGAGATGGAAAATATCTTTTTGTTTTTGATGTCTGCACTTAAGCACATCGTCTTTAGATCTTCCCCCTCTTCCTTGACCAGAATTCGGTGAGGCGGAATCCAAATGTCAACAAGGCGTTGCAGACAGCAGCAGGCCATGCAACTGTATACGTACAGGGCCATTATTCTCCTTGGACAGCCGAGGGAGGCGTGAGGGAATTCAGTCAGAAAATGGAATTTGGATGCAAATACGCTGTCTTCGCGTAAAATATGCACGTAATGTGCAAATTCAGGGCTACGAAACAGAAAGAGAAGGATGGCAGGGAGCTGACAGAGATGAAAGAAAAGGGGAGAAGATAAAGAGATGACGGGGATGACAAAGCGAAAAGGAAGCTCTTCAAAGGCGGGGGCGGACAGGTGGGGGGGCGGCTCCGGCACTCACTCCTGCACAGGGCCGGCTGGCCGCTCCAGCTCAGGGACTCCATGCACACCCGACTCTCCGTGCCCAGCAGCTCGTACCCAGGCTCACACAGAAAGTGCACCTCGTTGCCCACCCCCAGGGCCTTGCCAAGCTTCCTGCCATTAGGGGGTGTCTCCAGCAGGGGGCAGGATGCTATGAGAAACAGCAGAACACATGCACACCATGAAAACAGAGCTCCTGAAGTTTCCTATCAGTGTCCAGTAATGTCATGAGCAGAACCGTGACCCCCAGCCCATCTCATGTGAAGTTAACATCGCATGGGCTGAGCTGTGCTTAGCACAGTTTTCATGTAAAAAATGAATAATTATTTCATTTATTTGGCTGAATATTCATTGTCATTCTGCCTTGTGCCTGTTTTAAGGAGAGGACTTGAGGGCAGTTGATGGAATGGGGGGGCCCACCATTGCTAGGTTTGGTTGGCTGTCCCATCATCGCCGCCTTCTGCAGCAGACTGAGCTTCTTCCTGAGCGATCGCAGGCCCTGCAGGTAGGAGGCCTCATGGGCCGACAGCAGCTTGTAGGCCTGCCGCAGCGAGGCCTGTAGCTCCTGGGTGCTGGAGCACTCCTGCGCGGGGAGGGAGGGGGGCAGGGGGGGCACACCTGGTTTACAGAAGACTGCGGAGACATTTTGGGGTTGATATGAGAGACCTGGTCACCCCACAGAAGGGACAGAATGATATTGGAAGAAGTCACACTGCAAGAAATACTGTGATATTTGTAAAGCAAAAAAAGAGCAGCAAAATATATTATAGCCAAATAGAACCTGTTATTATCTACCAATTGTGTCAAAAGATACAAAGCAGTGCTGACAAATCACTTGCTTTTGCTCAATATCGTCTCTGCGGAATCCAAAATATTTCCATACAGCTGAAGGCGAATGTCTTTTCATGACCGGATCTTGTTCGCTTTTCTCCTCCTCAGTCATTTTAGTTAAATTCCTCACAAACGCGCCACACTGTCTATGTGTGAGTCCAATATTAAGGATGAAAATGATCATGATTGTCTCAGAGAGCGCAAGCAGAACTCACGCCAAAGCAGCGATGATAAACTTTGGACCAAGTTTTTATTAAACATTCTGCAAAATCTTGAAAAGAAATCATCATTAAAATTTCAGAGCTTCCTAAGGTTTGTATTCTATGACAGAGTAAAAATGTTTTACTGTAACTTATTGATGGTTTTCACCCAGTTTACGTCTACACCTGCATAACATGTGATGTTGATGTTAACATCGCACAATGGTGCAGGAGAGAGTTTGATATTAGGGGAGGACAGCATAATTAAAATGCAAAGGTGTATTTATTGGGGGGGGGGGGGGGAGAATGAAGGCAAATAAAATTTGGGGTACCCATCCCCCTGTCCCACCAGTTTCCATGTCCCTGAAACAGGCCCAATACACAGATACCAAATAAAATGATGCAACCATCAGTCATCTTTTTGGGAGTAGGTATATGTCACACATCCTCCAGAGGGTAGGTATATGTCACACATCCTCCAGAGGGTAGGTATATGTCACACATCCTCCAGAGGGGTGCATCAGCATAGCTTGCCCTGGACTCTCGGTACACAGGAGCAAGCAAGACCTGCTGCCTGCCAAGAACCCACTTCCTGAATCTAGTGTCAATGGCCCCCTTTTGCTCCCTGCTGTATGTCCTCTCTTCCAGCACCAGCTTTCACACCAGTCTCGTGTTTGCGAGATGCTAGTGCGAGGCACGGGCACGGCGCTCAGGACACTGCGCTCAGTGGTGTGTCCACGCAGCAGGACAGGGAGAGCATTCAGCTCGGAGAAAAACATGAGCCTTGGAGCCTAAGGCCACACCTCTCACATCAAAGCCAAGCTGCATGTAAGAGGCGCCTTGGACTTTCCCACTTCTCATTCCACTGCAGAAGATCAGAACATTCATTTACCTCACAGGTCAAATGGACCCTCCTATCTGTCTCATTCTGAAATAATAAAGTTCCTTTGTTGTGCTTCTCAAACCGGGATTCTGTTTTTTAAGCTAAAATTGATCGATTATTCAGCTTGTTTTGAGTGCCTTGGAAAGACCCCGTCCACACGTACAGTCTGGCATTTTGCAGTGGCTTCTTGATGGGATGTCCCTCTTGTATAATGCGTATTGTGTGTCCCGGCTTGTGAGTTTTTTTTTCTACTCATCAAAGTGTTCTTTGAAAAGGCTCCTTGGTATCTTCATACCAATGCTGGCCATGACCAATTACTCCCTCTCTCTGGCAACCCTATCCCCCCTGCCAGTAGATTTGGATCTCTGAGGGACACTGTGATGTTGGGTGAGCAGCAGGAGAGCAGTTTTACCCCTTCATTTCACTAGAAATGAAGTTTAAGGATTCCCACCCTCCAAGAAAAGCAACTTCTTGTTTTCACTCAATAGAACCTAAGTACACATTTTGATTTTTTTGTGAAATAGCCTGTCTAGATTAAGTTCTGGAAGGATTTCACTGAGATGTGCTGGTGAAGTTTGTTTGTACTCAGCAATAATGTTTCCCTGTTGGCAGTATCGCAAAACATTCTGGAATCCTGCTAAAATGTTGGAAGTTCTAGGAATTCCATATTCACCCAAAAGTCGTGTTTTCATCACTGTGGGTCGCTGCTGTTTGGTCAATGAAGGCCTTTATCTCAGGCAAAGGCAGCTGGATAAATGTTGAGTAGTGATGTGAGAAACAAGGTCTGGAATTCCACAGTGGGTTGGACTTTTGCATACTGTCAGTCACATGTTTAACCCCATTTCATTGGTTACTTTTTTTGGTTGCTATTGGTTTAAACTAAGCAATGACTGTCAGCGCAATGGCAGTCCAACCTACAAAGAGGCCTTATTATACATAACAGGGAAAGTGAGAGAACGTGTTTACGGCACACCTGCAATGCTGTCTGAGAGTTATTAAAATGAACAGGCAAATGGTTATATTGGTGTTCAGAGCAGGGGAGTTTTGGTGTATGGGGTTACCTGGGCGTTCAGAGCAGGGGAGTTTTGGTGTATGGGGTTACCTGGGCGTTCAGAGCAGGGGAGTTTTGGTGTATGGGGTTACCTGGGCGTTCAGAGCAGGGGAGTTTGGGTGTATGGGGTTTCCTGGGTGTTCAGAGCAGGGGAGTTTGGGTGTATGGGGTTTCCTGGGCGTTCAGAGCAGGGGAGTTTGGGTGTATGGGGTTTCCTGGGCAGGCAGGGGTCTCTACTAAATAAGCACTATCAACTAACCTTTTTTAATAAAATGCTAACTGCCAACCTGTTTCAACAACTTTCATAGACCCCACCCACCCTCCGCCCCCCTGGTCATAACAACACCATTGTAGAAAATGGCAGGGGGGGGGTCTGACCATGTTAATATGGCTCTGGCTCAGGACAAACGGGTAAAACCAACCTCGATACCACATAACCTCATTTTCCTGGACACATCATTTTTACATCCCTTTATCCTTTACACACTAATAAAAAGCTTTCATAGTGTCAGACAACCACAACTTATTTGTATATTGGCTGAGAATGACACCAAGAACCTCTCTGAATAAAAAGAGCTGCCCCCACCCCCAAAATGAAACACAGGTCGCTGTCAGAGCTTAGGGAGATTATCTGTGGTTATGTTTCCAAAAACAGATCTGTCCTTGACATGAAAGCATTGCTTACGTTAGCCTGCTCTGATCATGCTGCTATTTCAAAAAACAGAGCGAGACGCAATTTGACACTAATTTTCTCAGTTCTATTTTTTAGCTGTCAGTCTCGGGGGATCTTCACAACAGCAGCCCCGTCCGAGCATTCAGGAGCTTGGAGGCATTTCCAAGTATTCAAACAAAAGGATCGCGTCGAAAGCTATATTTGCCTCCAAACCTGGCGCTACAGAGGCAGACCGATGCGCGGGTCCTATTTAAGCGGCGCCGCTACCAGCACGGGCGCGCTGCGCGCTCCCTGCGCTACACCGTGTCGCGCAGTGTCGGGACTATGCGGTGCATCTACAATATCGAATATCGAAGTCTGGTCGGACAGCCGTTTAAAGTAAACTGGATACATAATAATTATGTCGATCGTGTAGAAATTCATCAATAATTCTTAATTGAAGTCGTCGACTATCTGCCGCTGTGCCAAATTGCACAGTAATTGCATAATGCCAGTGTTGAATCACACAAAAGACGCGTGGAGTCACGGAATGAGCCGTCATGATGGGTTACGATGCACTCACCTGTCCGCTGGAGCTCTGCATCTCATTGTGGCACAAGATTGCCATGACACTGTATATCCAAATCATTTTCATTTTTGCTTGTGTCACTGTCCTGCCGCAGATGCCTTCTCAGCTACCGATGTTCAGTCGATAAGCGCACATTAAATTAAAAGTTAAACTTGTCTTGACTACTCAGGTGGCATCAACCCGAATGAGAGTTCGTATTTTCGCTATTCAGAGTGTCTCTTAAATCATTTGTGCTACTAAAACGACGCCTTGTACATCCTGAGGCAGTACGGAGGAGGCGAAACGTTTTTCTCTGTCTCGTTTTTGGAAAGCACATGCCAAATTTCTCCCCCCATAAGAAACCGCCTCGTTGTGGTATTTCTGTGCTAAAAGTAAAAAAAAATCCAACAGTCGTTTTAAAGCGCTCCTTATAAGAGCGCCCGGTATCCTACCTTTGGCATACGAATGGCTGAAAAAGATTTATAATGCGGAAGGACAGAGTAGCCCCCTTGTCACAGGGCGCTACCGTGGGTCCCGGACCCCAGTTTTTCGGATAGGATTTGAACAACGGTACCGAAACCTAAGGATTGAACTGTTCCATGAGGGGTCCTACGTAAGGTTTCATATATACTAAGCAAATTAGTTTGGTGAAACCTAAAAAACCAAACATGTACATCATTTTGGATCCAATTGTATGAGTACCAGGAATATAAGTGTATGCAATTTCCAGTTTGGAAATATTATTTTTGTGCTTTTAGTTGTTGTTTGACTACCCAGCAAGAAGTGATTCAGTCTGTGTAATGTGTGTCTGCTCTTTATATGACAGGGTTATGTGGTGAATTCCAATCACTTTTCCCCTACAGGGTGATAAGGCCTACCTATAATTGCACTTATTAATAAATGAAATTTACGATGGGTTTGGTTCCGTCCTGGGTTATTCCCTGCCTCGCGCCTGTAGCATCGGGGATAGGCTTTGAACGCCTGAGTAGAAGAAGCAGGTTTGGAAAATGGTTGTATGGATGGAATTATTAGGTTAAAATTGTAAATAAGTGACTTTAACAAAACGTTGAAAACAACTTTAATTTGCAGGACCGACACCCTGCATTGTGACTATGTCCAGCGGCTGGTTTTTATATACATTTGTGTTTGCACTACTTGAATGTGTATGTTCTGTTTAGTATTAACAAGGCTGTTTTTATAAGGACAAACTTAATGAATATGCATATAATGCACAGAAGCCAAAATGAACAGCACTCAGACCGTGTCCCCATCTATTTCACGAGCCTTGCAGTCTGTTACAATGCCAGATGTGTTTATTCGGCGTGAGTGCAGCACTGTATGCTAGTTGTAGAGTCCATGCCTCATGCAGAACAAACACGTTTCAAACCCAGAATATGGAAAAGGCCTGCCCTCTACAGGGTAAGCCTCTCAGTGTAAGTATCCCACCTTGTTAACTGCAGGCTTGGAGTTCATTTGCAACGATCTGTAAAACACACGGTATTCGTGCTCCTGCTTCCGTTTTCTGGTTACTGCTCACGCGGTGGAATCATTCACTGAGTTCATTGTCATACCTGCCTGGGCCCCTCTGCAGCAGCTGGACAGCTCAACAAATGGTTCTAGACTTAGGAGTATTAGGAGTATATACCTTATATGGATATAAGACCATCCAATGAACTGCAAGCTATGCAACTCAGATTGTGTGCAAAATGGCAGCAAGCTGCTTTGTAGGGTGAATACTAGAGACTGTCAGGACGTAATACTGATATCTGCCGAAAAACACCTGTGATACAGAGGGATGATGTCTTCATAAATAATGTGGCACAGAGTCTGTATTCACTCCCCACTTTTCGGATTCAGAGGACCGGTTTAGTCCATAACTCTCTGGAAGCTCTCGTTGTCCTCAGCACCAACTGCTTAAAAATCCAGTACAGGGTGTGAAACGCTTTCTGCTTTGCAGGATCTGCCTTAATTGAAAGCAGAACTGGTTCGCAATTCTCTCTGTTTTGTCAGCCGTAGCGTACCAAATAGGGAATGCCTTTGTGTTTATTACGTGAAGCTTAGAGGCGCTGCTCTCAATCGATATCAAAGCTTCAGAAATGACCAGAGCTGTAGGGGGACTGTGTTCCAACATGGGAGTGTCACACACGATATTCAATCCACAGTCAGGCAGGATCATGAACACCACAGTCTGAGAATCACTGAGCAAGTTATAGTGTTATAAAATATAAGATATTGTGTTTCCTGGCCTTCGTGAGCAGCCCACAGTCTGGGTGGCCCCACCAGGACGTCTTCATATTAGCTACTCCAAAAAAATGAAGAGGTCAGAAGATAATACATGTTATAATATCACAATAGTCAGTTTTTCTGAGAAGAGAGGAAATGTGTTTTTAAATGACAATAAAATTTTAGTAACAGCGGAGGAGCTACCTCCCCTCCCTGCATGGGGCAGCTACCTCTATTACATACTGCAGTGTGGTGACTCAGCAAGTAGCACTGCAGACTGACAGGGTTGTGGGAATGGTTCTCATCCCAGCCCATGTGTATGTGGAGTTCGCAGGGCGGGGGCGGGGGGGCAGCTTGTGCAGCATGGTTCCTTTTGGGATTCTCTAGCTTCCGCACATTTCACATTCATTCCTTGGAATTGGTGCCTCTCGTAATGTGCAAGCCTGTTCTGTCCCAGTGACGGGTTCATGTAGGGTGTCCATGTGCTCTAAGCCTATTACAATATGCTCCACACCCCCCCCCCCAAAGATAGGTGATGGATTCTGCCATTTCTCGCTCCTTACTGTTGTACGTGTTGAGGCCTGGATTGCATTTCTCAGTACTCAAGATGCAAAAGTTGGCTGTTGTGTCTTTGCTCTCAGTTGGCCTTTAACTTCCCCAGTGGCTGCCGAACCAAAGGCATAGTCAACATCTGAAAGCTCAAGTAATTTACAAACAAACAGCCAAACTTGACCAATAAAACAGTCAAAATTAGTCAAAATTTACAAAAAAAGTTTGATCTGTTTGAATCAGTCAATTTGTTCAGTCTCTCAGCAAAAAATGAATCAGCTCATAATTGATTAATGAATATTCACACAGGTTCGTTGCAATCATGGTTTTTCATGACACCACAATAGTCCATCATCCACTGGTTAAAGGGCGTCCGTCTGATTTTAACATTCACCAAGTAACGCAAGTGGTTTTTGCATAGGACCCTTGAAAATGAATTGCATCCTGGTAGTCTGTTCTTCATACGCTATATTCCACACCAGGTTGTCTATACTGACTGTATGGCACAATGGGACAGTGTTCTTTATATGCTATATCCCACAGCATGCTATATATCACATTGTGTCTGGTGGGAATGATTTCCATGCTTCCACAAGCAGTCACTTGAATAGCTTTTTCAGATCTCTTTTATAATGTTATAAGCCAATAATGTTTTGACTTTAATCATTGAAACGAAAAAGATTAAATGATTATGTAGATGGACATTATCAACAATAACCAATTAACAAATATACCGCCATAAAGATAGACCAAAATTATTTTTAGATTAAAATTCCACGTTTTATATTGCTCGAAATTGAAAAATAGCATAAAGCCGGATTTAAGTCTCAAGGGCATCATTGTTTTTGCAGACAATCCAGAGCGATGCTTATTGTTGCGGCGGCTGTACAGTGAGGGTTTGCGGGTAACCAATGTCAGTCAGCCTCTTGAAGCTGAATAATGAAGCGGGCCGGGCCAAATGCGTGCGGGTGACTGAGTGGGAGTCGATGGATTGGCTGGGAGACAACGGCGGCGGAGGCGGTGTGTCACAACTGCGCGTACAAGTCGTAGCTGGTGGTAATGTCCGCCTCAGTAATGGGAGTTCGCCGGGATTCGGGGTACTTACTTCTCCTTCTCATTGTGACTCTTCCAGTGTCGTTTTCTCGGGGAAACTGGATTTTGAGGGAGAAACGAGTTAGCTCGAACCCACCTGCCATGGGTAAGAAAGAAAACACTTGCTTTCAGCACCGTTGCATTTTAACGGCGGGGGAGCCTTAATGCAAGCTGGGCAGAGAGACGTTGCGGTTTCTAAATAGAGAAAAAGTTTGGCTGCTTTCGCTCACAGATTTCACTGGCTAGAAATATGTCTTTACTAAATTTAAATACTGACCGCAACTGGAAGAATGCCCCAAACTTGCTTTAGTCTCTAAAACTATTTTGTTAGGCTTACTTTTTATTATAATGAATTTATATTAAAATTAATGTTAAATGGATATTTTATAATGGTTATTTGCCTTCAGTCTTTGCTTTGAAATCCCTGGCAACATGATAAAAGATTAAAGACCGTATTTACTCCTTATTTGCAATGTTCTGATGAGTTCATACATAATTGGTTATGCCCCCACCCCTCTTCCTCCTCCCCAATAACCCCCTACATTCCGTTACCATGGGGATCCCTTCCAGTGGTAAAATAATCGCGCGCCTTCTTTTATTTTAGGGCTGGGACTGAGGAACCATTATCAGATTGTAACGCAGCACAATCGGCTGAGGACACGGGTCACCCCTATGGCTGCAAACATGCAAAAAATGGTTGGTCACCTGCCTTTATTTTCATTCCTTAGATGAAGGAATCTCCGTCTGTCGAGCCAAATATTTGCCAATTAGTGGAAGAAACTTACGCAATACTGCAATTCCATTCCATTTTTTTCTTTTTAAATAGCTTTTGACACTAAGATACCATTTGTAACATGCCTGCCACTTGAAGAATTATGGGTAAATGGTACTGGTGATAGTGGTTAACCTTTCATCATAATTTACCCAAAATATTTGTCCCTGATATCAGGCATATTTAAAAGCATATGTAAGGTAAACAGCCTTAAAACAAGACACGCTTATATGTTCCCCCAGCACCCTAGACCAGGATAAGTGGTTATAAGATGGATGGATGATGGCTGTTTTGTCAAATCTCAATTATTGGTTCTTCACTTAAAATCAGGGGCACAAACAAAGTTAAACTTATAGGCAAATCTGAACTTTCTTTCAGCGCACATGCACTTCTGACCGTGAAAAGTTAGTACGCATAAATATATGTTAAGTTTAAATGAAATTTCAGTAACTTGAGTCAAGCGTAATTATTTAAGGAATTCCAGTCCACTGGGGAGCCAGAGGGTGCTGGATTTTGTTCTGCGTTAATTTTTGCTTGATTACTTTGGTAAAAGTCCATCTCCCGTACAGAATTTCAGGTCTAAATTATTTGAAGGCTGAAAGACAATCCAATCACTAACCTTGGGGCTTGGGGGTGGGGTGGGGGGTCCTGTTCAGTGTGACTGAAAATGCAGGATGATTTAAATACATAAGATGTAAGGGAATCGCTAGGAACTGGATTGGCAAGCACAGCAAGCGTGTGTTAGAATCGTGTGAGTTTAATGTCCACCGTCCTTTTCTGTGTTCTGATGTTATAATCATGGTCGTTTTGTTGTACTTATCTTAAATAAATCTTTACTGAAAGCAGTTGTAATAGTTTACCTTTTTTGTTTTTAGTGGCATTTTATTTATTAGTAAAAAAAGAAGGTGGTCTTTTCTGAAGTGATTTAGCAATTTTAAGTTAAATCAGAGCATTTCCTTTTGTGGAATTTACACCGCTTTGAGACATGTCCAGTTTTTCATCACTCCTGGAAATATTATGGTTCATCGACATGCTAGTATTTAAATTTCCTTAAAATATTTCAAATGATGGAGTTGGTTGTAAGATGTTAGCACTGCCAAAGCAAAGTTGCAGGCTGCACAGAAAGACAGGTTAGTGGTTCAAGTGCTGAAATCTTATTAGTAGCTTAATACATCTGCAGAAATGCAGCCGTGTTTTTTCAGCTTTGGAAATGCTATTTGTGGAAAGAAATCTGGCTGCAGCGGTGACTGTGCGTCTCGAGCGGCATATAAATGATTGGTGGATCAGCGGTGCTGCCAGCAGGGAAACGTGAGATTAAGCGTGCATCCCCTTCATAGCAGAGTGCTGAGTTTCACGTGGACAGAGAATCCGCAATAAGCCGACCCACGGCTTTAATAGGCCAGCCTCCTCACTCAAGGCAGCGCTGAACTTCGGCTGGATCATGGGTGGAGTAAGAATATAAATTCACAGGAAAAGGAGAGTCCATCGCCTGGCCCTGCCTTGCTGGGGGGGTCACCACTCCGGCACCAAAGCAGAAATTATACAGACAATGAGTTACAAAACCACAAAAATGAAATCTTTGAGTTCAGTCATTTAAAATGTGATTGGTCATCAATGATGCATTTTTGGATGAAATTTAATGTCGCATTGAGATGTCTATATTTTTTTGCCAGATTGTTTGCGTTGTTCATTATTATAATGAGTTTTATTGTATGAACAGCTACACTGCATGTATTGTTAATAAGCATCAATTGTTGGGATTATTTCAAGGGCACATTTAGGGCACGTTATCATCCCCGACAGCATCCAACACTGTAAAGTATCAGTGGAGCCAAACAGCTTTCAGCTTTCCTTGATTTTATTGGTATCCACGCGGGGCTGCCCTACTGGGGACGCCTACCTGCTAATTCAAACTACCTGCTTCTCCAAACAGTGAATCATGTGCATGCAACTTAACACGTACGGCACTCAGTCAGGGTCAGACCGGTTCAGTTACTGTGTGGGAAGTCATTTGAATGGCTAAGATGCATGGTCTAAGCATGGTGTGATTGTTGGTGCCAGACATGGTTCCTGTGTCTCAAGAAAAGCCAGTCTGCTGGGATCCTCGCCCAGTACCATACCTGGAGTTTATAGAGAACAGTATGAGCAAAGAACATGCAGTCAGTGCCATTTCTTCGTGCAAAAATATTGCTTGTTTTTTTTTTTTTGTTTGTTTACACAAAAATGTTTTAAGGGCAGAACGATAAACGATTGGTTCAGAGAGATAACCAATCAGATTGTAGGAGTTGGGTCTAAGCAACTAGAGGAGGCGGGAGCAAGACATCTAATTGATTGGTTCCACCTTGTTGCTTGGGCCCACCTCCTCTACAATGTGACTGGTCATCTCTCTGAACCAATCATTTTGTGTTGTGCCCTCAGAACATTTTTGTGTAAGTAAAACTCCCATAAGCAAAAAGATCTTGTTAATCAGAGGAGAATGGCTGTGCAGGACCACCTCAGTACAACAGTGGCATGTAGAAAGGCTTCACTTTACTCTTGAAATATTGGGCCCCATCATTAAGAATACGTTGATGAAAAATCACAGAAAAATGACCTACAAGTCATTAAATGCAAAATGAACCGCAAATCATTAAATGACTTCATGGGCCCGTCTTGTTAAGATGCATTCGACGGACCATGCTTGAAACGTTGAAATGAAATGCCTCCCAACACTGGGTCCTGCTGGGTACGAGCTACGCACACCTAATAAAGTGACCAGTGAGTGTACACTGCCGGCTAAACTTAAATCCAAAAGGCTCCTTGCCAGGCAAGATTTCTGTGCTCCGTGTCAGACCATCACAATTTATACCATGGATCCAAGGGAACAAGAAAAGAAAATGAGCCATAATAGAGTCTATGGAGTTTGTATTTCACTCTGGGAGCTGCTATGAAACTGATAAAATGGGACAATTAGGAGTAACTTCGAAGTGTGCATTAAAGCAAGTGGCCGTGTGGAATCGTTGGCGAGATTAAATGCGTGGTTGAAGTGTTGGCGATGTAAAGCGCTGCAGGCCGTCTGCGTTTGATGATCTTACGCTGACATACACCATGCTCCGCCTGTCTGTAAAACCATTAAGGATATCAGAGTTCTCGCCACATCCCTCCTTTCATGAGATAAAAATGATGGCGTTCATTTAAAAAAAAAAAAAAAAACAGCTGTCTTTTGACTGATTTCTCTTCTAGCGATTTGTCTCACGGTTCTTACAAAGAGCATGTCAGAGGAAAGGGTGACTTGTGTCCTTTGAATGCTTGGCACTCAAACTTCAAAGGGATGGAGAGACTTGGGTTATTCTTCTGATGTACGCAGAGTTCAATATACAGCGAGGAGCTCTCTTATTGTTCTTAAAAGTGAGACCATGGTGTCACTGTGCAATATATGTGAAGGACAGCATCTCTGCTGACACACTGTCCTTTGTCTGAGCAGGTGTGAGCTCTGGTCCCGACATTTCAGCTATCCCCTTGATGATATTACATATTTTGCCTGTATTACTACAGTAAATATCACGCTGACCGCATCTGTAATGTGTAAATAGTTTAGCAGTGTGATTCAAGCGCCACAAGTCTATAGGGATGCAAGCAAGGAGATGAATGACATGATAATAAGGGAGAAGGTTTCAGACCCAGTGGTGGACGGTTTAAATGCCAACAGAGAGTATTGCCATCAATACCTCAGAATCTGAACTAGCATCTTTAGCAGAAATGCGTAAATGGGTATTAAACATCGCTGGTTTCATTGAACCCGACCCCATTTATTGGACTGAGGAAATATGCTCTGCCTGTAGGCTCTGAGGGTATAGAAGATGCTCTTCTGCTTTACTTGCAGAAGACTTCCTGTCCCTGGTATCAGACAGCTTCCTTTAAACCATACAGGCCAGCCATGTCTAACCAGCCATGTGTCCTGACTCAGTGGTGCCCGTCCCAGGCCTGGTTCCTCTGAGCTGGCAGCTGAAAGCAGCTTCTTAGTTCATTCTCTCATCTCCTGCCGTTTCAGAAATAAAGAGCTGATACTGAACATGAGTACAGCAAACAGATCAAGCTGACCAGTAGATGCATGGCGGCATTCATGTTTTTAATAGGTAAATGTTACCAAGGGAACAGAATCACTTCTTCACCCCCTGGTTAATCACCTTTCCGTCTTTTCATCTCCAGAATGTTGCTGCCACGCTCTCTCTCTCTCTCTCTCTCTCTCTGATCTTCTACTCCTGCATGTATTTTCGCTTTCTTTTATGATGAAAGAATGTGTTTTCTTAAACTATTCTGCTGGTTTTCGTAAAAAGTAATTAGACAATCGATGTTGTAGAACACATTTGCTGCATTGAAAGGCATTCCAATGCCAGTGACATTGCCAAGTTCCCGTGTCCAAATGAAGAGCCATTATTGTCATTGTCATCAGTGGTGATCTTATGTGTATGTTTTAATAATCTCAATAATGCCAGTGTAATATTTTCTTTTGGGCAAACAGGCAAACTGTATATGAACCTTCAGCAATGTTCTGTGTCATTCTTAAGTGAAGTTCAACTTTAGCTTTTAGGGCAGTATGTTGAGTTAAATGGGTGTAATCTTTGCTTTGTGTGTTTGGAATAGGCAGGCTAAAATACCAGGCTTGGAGAGATTTAGGGAGGGGGGTCATTAAATATGAGGGGGGACCTGTCACTGGATGGTTCTGAGAAAGTCCAGGAGAAGCCAGATGAAGTGCTGAGAGCGGGACGGTACGACCAGCCGGCACAACTACAGCGGCCCGACCTGTGACATCACACCGGTGTTGGGCATGAGGACGGAGCAGATTGTCCAGTGTGAACAGGGAGAAAGCCGGAAAGGAGGGCGGCTCACGGTGTCCTCAGGTCACCGGTACCACTGCACGCAGTGCAGTCTGATGACTTGTGTGACTCTCCAGGCATCTCTGCCGACATCCCACTTCCCCTGGAGAATGCTCCGCAAGGGAGTTTGGTGCAGTTCCCCGCCACATTAGTGACGGTTGAAGGGAATTTCCATGGCAACGCGTAGCAGGTCTCTCATGCTCAGTGGTCTCAAAGACACCACGGCGTGGCCAGTCTGGATCGGCAGTGATGGTTCAAGGGTGTCGTCATGTTGACACTTTCTGAACCTTCATTCGCTGCCGCTAGTGTCAGTGTTTGGGTTGGTAGCCTCAGTTTTTCAGCATTCTTGTAAGTCTTAGTTGCTTCATGTTTCTGTTAGTGGGGTTGAGTCATAGCCAGCTGGAATCCTGCCATAATCTTGAGGGCTGCTATGACCGTAGCCGGTGCTGGTTCACACCTCTTGGCCCTGCGGCAGGCCCAGCGAATGCGGTGCTGTGCTGTTGTACGATTCAGATGAGTTAGCGCGTCCTGATCAGCATGTCTCGCACACGTGTACCGCTGGACCCAGTCGCCCGTGACTGATGGAGGGCGGATCCTACCCGCGTTCTGCTTCGTGCGGTCTTCATGCGTGAAGGGTAGCAAAAAAAAAAAAATTTGTTTACATTCTCCGTCACTCTTCTGAGTGCTTCCTTTCGAATCGGCGGCGTTTCATGCGCCAAGGAAAAAAGGCAAAGGTTTAAACAGACTTTCCATTGTTTCACCCTCGTCACGGAAGCGGCCTGCTAATGCATCACTTAGCCGGCGGCTCGCAGTGCGCTCTGCACGGCACAGCCTGGGAAGGCACACCGTCACTGGGGTGCTAATGGTCCGGCTAATCTGATCCTGTATCTCCTCATCGCCCTGGAGATAATTGAAATGCGTTTCTCCTCGGCCCGACCTGCTATCCCAGGCGATGCTCAGCTGCCCACACCCCCGGCCCCCGGCCCGCCCGCGTCTCCATGCTGGGAGCAGCTGCTGTTGGCCCATGTTCTGGTCCTCTTGGCAGGACTAGCAGGTTCCCAGCACCTGAGAGCGAGTTCGCCGGCTATCATCTCGCACTTCTGTCTCCCTGCACATTACCGGCTAATTTGGGCTGAGTCGAATAAAAGTGACATAGGTCACCTGAGGCTTCCAGGGGGCTCTCTGAAGGGAGGGGGGGCTGTTATGCGATAGTGGGATGGCCTGTGTGTCCCGCTCTCCAATGTCAGACACAGACTCGAGCCCTCACTGACTCAGGGATTCTCTGGAGCCAACATTATGCAGCTCTGCTTGCCAGACAGAAATTCCATGGTTTACAGGCATGTGTGGAAATGTTGTGTGGTTTCGTTCCTGACATCCTGACATTTCCTAGTTTCCCACGGACCGGACAGTCACGCTAAGTAGGTCGTACCAGAAAGCTGTGCTCAGGGTCTCCCTGGGTGGCACAAAGGGGCGAGTCTGACACTCAGAGGAGGGAAACAGGCTCCTCGGTGCCGATGCCAGGCCGCGGGACTCTCTGTAAGCGTCCGTCCGCAGCCCCTGTCAGGAGCACCCACCCGTAACGTACTTTGCTGTTTTCTGATTGGGACCCCACCACCCTCCTACCCCCACCCTGTGCCCCCAACCCCTAGGAGTGGAGCGAGAAGCTGGCCCTGCTTGCCCAGGAGAGGGCAGAATCCTGCCACCCAGACCCTGCCCACCGGGACCCAATGCCCAATCACGTGGGCTGGAATGCCCAACGCTCCGCCCCTGGGGCCGCCTCCTTCTCTGAGGTCATTGACTCTTGGTTCCAGGAGGGGCAGGACTACAACTACCTGAGTGGCCAGTGTCAGGAGAACCGCACCTGCAGGCACTATACGCAGGTGATCAGCACCGGCGGCTGCAGCCCTGACCGTCACTGCAGTCGGCACACTGTGCCATGACCGAAATAAAACCCTCCGCCTGTGCCCTCCTGGTTCCCGCAGCTCGTATGGGCCACGTCCAGCCAGGTGGGCTGTGCCCAGTGCCTGTGTGCCAGCGGGTCCTCTCAGTGGGAGCTGTTTGTCTGCGCCTATTCGCCCGGGTGAGAGGCCGCCCTGGACATCAAACACTCCCCAGTCGTCCCATAACTTGCCGTCCAGTTCTGAGGAATGTTCCATTAGCGTTTGGATCTGTGCACTGCATTTTACAGTTATTTAAATAACACTTATTTTATCCAAGACTAGTTTACATTCATAAATTGTTAATTGGCTTTTAGAAGTAATGAATTAAAGTGTGTTTAGAGCGAACTGAAGTTTCAGCCTCCAGAATGTGTGTGGGATTGTCCGCAGTGACCTGTTCTGACAGACTTGGGGTCTGGCTGGTGCTGATGTGACCCGGCATGTCACTGTCCTGTGCGCAGGGGGAACTGGGAGGCCAACGGGATGATGGTGCTGCCCTACAAGGCGGGTTCCTACTGCTCGCTCTGCACCTCCGACATGTCCGGCTGCTTCCGCCTCTGGGATCACGTGGGGGGCCTGTGTGGTGAGCCCCCCCATGCACCCGTGATGGTCTCACACAACGTATTTTTAAAATGCTTTTTTTTATGGGTTTGGATTTTTATGGGTGTGGTAGCCTTGTCACCACACACAGTAATGGCTCCATTAAGTACAAAAGCATGGACTTTGTTTGGAGCGTCATTAGAACTGCGGTGATGAACAATCACGAGAAAATTACATACAAATTATGTAATGTGAACCATAAAACTTTAGCAATAAAAGCTTTAAATCTTTTTTTTTTAGGCATGGCAAACTATACCCAAATATCATTAGCCAAATATTAACACACATCGCAAAGAAGTGTGTTGTTAGGTGAGCAGACTTCCACAATTTAGAGAAAAAAAAAAGTTTTTCAAAAGCAAACAACGCCCTTATGTCCCCCTGTAATCCCCCCCCCCCCCTCAGATGCATTCAGTGATTCAAGTGTAAGGATTTTATAAAGATATAAAGTGTGATTTTATCATCACAGACTGTAACAGCTGACGTACCCACAGATATGCTGGGTCCACAGCCCTTTGAAGGGCTGCTGCGTCATGTGACGTTGTTTTTCAGAGACTCCCCGGAATCCCTGTCGCATGAGCTGCGGGCAGAACGGGCAGCTGAACGTGTCCACGTGCCAGTGCCACTGCGCCGCAGGGTTCACTGGGCGCTTCTGCCAGGGTACGAGGCTGTCTGTGCGTCTCTATGTCTGTGTTCTGTACTAATCATAAGCATGCTGTGTAGCAAAAGCAGAGAGCATTTACAGCCGTGAGTGACAGTGTGTCCGTGCCGCTGCGAGTGACAGTGTGTTGTTGCCGCTGCGTGTGACGGTGTGTCCGTGCCGCTGCGTGTGACAGTGTGTCCGTGCCGCTGTGTCAGAGTATGATGATGCTCGTCTGTACGTTTTCTGTATGTCTGCTGTATTCCAGTTCGTCAGTGCTGCACTGTCTGCTTTGTCTCTGATGATAGTTTGTCTGTGCTGCGGTGTCTGTTCACTCTCCAGTGATGGCCTGTCTGTGCTGCAGTGTTTTAGTCTCTGATGCTGGTGTGGCATTGGTTCAGTGTGTAATGGCATGTGTTTGTGCCGCAGTGCGGTGCAGCGTGCAGTGCGTACACGGCCGATACAAGGAGGAGGAGTGTTCCTGTGTCTGTGATGTGGGCTACGGAGGAGCAGAGTGTGCAGGTGACAGGCGGGCCGGGGCCGCGGGCCGGGGGCGGGGGGGGGTACCTTGTTTCCTGGAAGTCCCACTATCAGGCACACAGTGGTGCATGTTGTGCTGCACCCACTCAGCCTCCAGAGGCTACACCCCATGTTTTTTTTGCCTCGGTGGTGCCGTCTGATGCTGCTTCCCGACCAGAGAAGCTCCAGTTTCCGTTCCACAGCTGTGGGGTGCGTATCGACGGAGACTGCTTCATGGTCTCCCCGGAAACAGACACCTACTATGGGGCCAAAATCCGCTGCCAGGTGAGGCTCTGGCCAGGGAAGGTCCCCCCCCACCCCCGTCAGAATGGTACAGTCGTCTCAGGGTCTTTTATCCCAGTAAAAAGGGCCATTTAAGCAGTTACTTAGCTACTTGTCAGAGTGATTCGCATTTACTGAGGCTTTTCACTCAGTATCGGTGGCTGGGAGATTAATCACACATTTTCCCGCCGCATTATCACACTATAATCTGGTTTTCTGCATTATCTACCAGTCGAGCGCCAGATATTCTGCTTCAGAGGCATAACCTGGGACTCAGGGATAACGGCGCATTGAGCCAACAGGGCCGTGCCTACATTTTGTTCCGGTAAAATCTGGAACTTCTCAGATAATCACAGCACTGTAACTCATTGTACCTAAAAATGCAAGTTGCTTTACAGAAAAAAAACATTTAGTGGATGTACAAAATGAATTATCCATCCATCCATCCATCCATCCAGTTCCTTATCTTGTACAAGATCACAGGGGTGGGCCCAAGCATTAAAGGACATTAATATTTATTGGTACAAGGAACTAATTGGGGTTTTATGTAAAGTGCAGGCACAAATGGAAAATGTCTGGCATCCTGTAGGATGTATGACAGAAGGTGTGTGTGGTGTTTGTTCCTTGTTTCTGCATTTAAAGGGGCTGTACAGAGCAATAATCACATGCATGAACGGTGCAGCTAATTAGTTTTGGTTAAGATTTGGCAGCTTAACCTGGTTTAGCCAGAATAATGTGCCTCAGCTTCACTTGTACTGCATTACACAGACCGTTGTAAAGATTACATGTTAGCCGAGTAACTGAGGAGCAAGCACATCAGTGAGCTCTTCTTGGCAGCGAGCAGTAGGTCTGATAAGATGTTTGTCTGTGAGGGAAGTGGAGGGGGAAGCTGAAGGATAGGGTGTTCCTCTGGATCTCCGGTGCCCCACAGGAGAAAGGAGGAATTCTGGCTCAGATCCATAACCAGAAGGTTCAGGACATCTTGGCGTTCTACCTCAGCCAGCTGGAGACCACTAACGAGGTCACTGACATGGACTTTGAGACACGCAACTTCTGGATTGGTGAGAGCCCCCTCCGAACCCCCCAACCACCAAGACCCCTGTGCCTGCTGTCAGCTCTTCTCTGTCACTAAAAGGTGGGGTTCCTATAGGCGTGTCCACCAATGTTTCTCCTGCAGGTCTGACCTATAAGACGTCCAAGGATTCATTCCGCTGGGACTCTGGAGAGCAGCCGACTTTCACCAGCTTTGCCTTTGGGCAGCCAGACAACCTAGGGTGAGTCTGGGGTGGTCTGGCCACTTATAGGAGGTTACATAGCAACTACAGGAGGCGGGACCAACTAATCAGATGTCTTGGTTTTGCTTCCTCTAGTCACTTAGACCCACCTCCTCTACAATCTGATTGGTTATCTCTCTGAAGATAACCAATCAATCCTTCTGCCCTCAGAATATTTTTGTTTAAGTAAAATTCCCACAAACTCTGGGCCCCCACTTTCCTTTCTGTGACAGCCCTTTTATGCAGCTCCTTTTCAATGAATATGATTGGTTCCATGCTTTCATGGACTTTAAAAGCTGCATCTTTTATTTTTGCCTTATTTATATGATCTGGCATTAATCACATGTTAGTACCATAACCTGGTCAGGGAACAGTTTACTGCATAGTCAAAGAAAACATTGCCTTTGTTTCAGTACAGTTTCCTTGTTTCACCACTTGGTGTCTCCCTTTCACCCTTTGGGTGCAGTTTTGGGAACTGCGTCGAGATGCAAGCTTCTAGCGCTTTCAACTGGAACGACCAGCGCTGTAAAACACGCAACAGATACATCTGCCAGTTTGGTGAGCCTCCCATTCTGCTCCCTCTTCCCCTGTCAAGGGCAATGCAGCAAGAGCCTGCAGGGTAGAGTAATTTGCTTTATTCTCAATCTTGCCAAATAAGTAATAGCCAGAGTGCCTGTGCATCTCTGCCACATCCACACGGTAAGCAGACTGCCAAACAGCTATGCAGGAACCAACAACAATGTACACATATAGCAATATTTATTTAATTGTATAAATATTTGGTCTAAGACTATTTGCTTCACATGAATCCCAGCGAACCCACCATCAAATTCATGTGTAAAATACAAGGGAGAAGAGGTGGAAACTTCAGGTTCTGAAAGTACAAATCCACACCAAGATTTTGTTTCAGCCAGCCAGTTGAATGCTCTATGATTGTGAGTCTTTATACTCACAGGTTGGTTGAAACAAAATCTTGGTGTGGATTTGTACCTTCTGAACCTGAACTTTCTCTCCTCCGTTAGTGGTGTATGCATTTTCTGTACAATGCCCACAGTTGAAAAGGCTGATTTCCATCTAGCTACACATCCATCCATCTTCGCTTATTTGGTATCTTTCCATAAAAGTATAAAGGTCCACTCTAGATTTCCAATTAACACACTCGGGCCACATAAGACCTGGATGTTACTATCTCTAATACAAAAGTCAGACATGAACATGCAGCCAGTCTATTTGCACAAATGTTAGACTGACCCTGATGGAGCCCACAGTACAGTAAGGACTTCTCCCATGTAGTTATATTGCTCAACAAAACTCATATGCCTGCAAGGGCAATTGATGAGAGCATAGCATTGCTATCTGCTGAAGCTATTTTATCACACCCATTTTTGAAAAAGCAGAAACACTTTAGACATGCCCCTAAACTTTAAACAAACTCTGAGGACTTTGGCAACCTTCACTTTTAATCAGCGACACTCGTGCCTTTTGTGATCAATAGCCATCAGTTCCTCATGATGACAGATCACATTTAAATACAACTTGTAAACACCTATGTGTTGGATGTCACAGTGGAAATGAAGAAGAATGTGGGGTGCTGTGGCTCGTGTTGTGGCGGGTGATACATTGATCTCAAAGAGCATATTAATGCAAGTTGTGCTGTTGGGTGACATCTTCGGAGTTTGTTCTTTAAAGCCTGTATATCGCCCTGAACCTTCTGACAGAAACAATTTATTTCTGTTGAGGAACAGAGATCATAAAACCCGATTTCACCTGCTGCAGTTCAGAACTGCTTCCCTGTGCAAGCCCGTAAAAACGCAACTTGAGGGAGCAACAAACAGAACACCAAACAAACAAACACAACGTTGGGCAGCAATAAATAGAACACCAAACAGATACAATGTTAGGGTTCAACAAACATACACTGCATTAGGGACCAACAAACAGAACACTGAACAAACAAACACAATGCTAGGGACCAACAAACACAACCCCAGACAAACAAACAAACAAACAACCATAGGGACTAATACACAGAACACTAAACAAACAAACACAACGTTTGGGACCAACAAACATAACATAGCGAGCAAACATATACAACATGATGAACCAATGGACATAGCATGGAGAATTAACCAGCACGATGTGGAACAAAACTGTCATGAGTAACAAACCAACGCAAGACGATGGTCCAATAAACACACTATAAGGACTAAATAGACAGAATATGGGGACAGCAACAAACAAACAAGATGAATAAACAAGCACAACATGAGAATATCATCTCGGTTACCTCTAGGCACACCAACGTTCTCCTGCAGTCCATAGAAATACAATTGCCTTCCATGCTGCTTGTAATACCGCTGAACTGTCATAAGAACATAAGAAATTTAGGAGGCCATTCGGCCCATCAAGCTCATTTGGGGAGAACTTAACTAATAGCTCAAAGTCGTTAAAATCTTATCTAGCTCTGATTTAAAGGAACCCAAGGTCGATCTTAGCTTGCACTACACTAACAGGAAGACTATACTCTAACTACACGGTGTGTAAAGAAGTGTTTTCTCTGTCTGTGTGTATGAGTCCTGCAATGGAATGGAATTCCATCCAGGCGCCTCAACAATACATTCAATAAGTGGCTGGAAGAGGTTGGATGTATATGGGATGTATATGGGATGTATATGGGATTTTTTATGGGATGTCTGTTTGTGTGTGCAGCTTGGGCTCAGTTGTATGTGTCTGCATGTGTTGGGAATTGGTTATGAGTGTTGTGTTAATGTGTAAAGGGGTTTTTATTAGGGGGAGGGTACCTTATGTGCCTGTAACTAACTCCATTTGTGCTGATTGTTCCAGTGCAGTTATGTATAATGACTGTAATTGTGATTATTGCTCTGTGCAGCCCCTTGACTTTCTTAAAGTGGGCGGACATACAGGGAGAAAACCGCACACATTCTGTACATTTCGGCTGCTTGACTGGTTCCCAGGCATCCATATTGGTCTGACAGATTATATTTAGGGGAACAAGTAGATTGCCTGTCCTGGGATGCGCATATTAATCATATCTCTACGCCTCAGTCACTCTTCCAAACTGACGTAGCCTAAAAAAAACCCCAGCGGCTGCATCTTTAAAAACAAGCCCTGCATTATAATAACGTTCCTTATTTATGTAACAAAGCCTTTCAAAGTGAAATGCCAGCAGGGTGTCATCTTTACAACGCGCATTAAGCTGCCAGTGCCGTGGAGAGAGTGAAGAACGTTCCGGTAAACTCCGCTGTCCTGAAATGTGCAGCTTCTATTGCTGCCGCTGCTTGCTAACATACAACAACAGTTAGATCACGTTTAAACAAAAACAGCATAATAAGTCAAACCAAGGTATACGACCTTGCTGGTGTAACATCAACAAGCCTATACCTCTAAACATAAATGCTACATGGCCCAAAGAATGCGGCACCCATACAGTCTTATGCCTGATAATGATGTTTCGGTCATCGACAGACGATATTTACAACGGTGGTCCCATAAAATGATGCTGTTACGGTGCTGAAAAATTCTTATAACTTAGTAACATCGTAGCCATTGTAACGTCATAGTGCTACACTTTTGTCATGTGTTTGTGGTGATGCTGGTGTAAGCAAACCCACTGTCTGCCAGTCGTAAAAGTATAGTACGTGATTATGTACAGTACATAATACATGACGATTATAAAGAATGATGTTACCAGTTTATGTATTTACAATACTGTATTTTTTATCATTCTTTTAGAGTATACTCATTCTACTTACAAAGAAATGCGTACTGCAGCCTAGGTGTGTAGTAGGGTGTACCATCGTGGTTTGAGTAAGTACTCTATGATGTTCGCACAGCAACAAAATCTCTGCATTGCTCAGAGCATATCCCCATCATTAAGGGACACACGACTGTGTTAATTAGAGGAACTGGTTAATTTGGCTACACCCATCGCTGGCGCAGGGATGCATTCTCCAGCAACAAAAAATATTTCAGTCCAGTGGATGGTCGTACAGGAAAGGTGAGCGCCTTCCAACTTGGCAATTCACCAAATGTCTGTGCTGCTATAGCTGGAAGTGGAGTGATTGTGAAGTGGAATCATCTGGGAGATAGTTCAGTGGCCACACAAACTCATAGAAATAGACCCAATAACCCAACATCAATACCTATACGAAATGGCCACAAATTCCACCCTCAATGTTTCAGCGTTCGCAGAAGTTGAAAAGTTATTACTGTATAGCAACAGAGACGCCCCAGCTTCATATCAAAACCCTGGGCTTCAGAGAGCAGAACCAGCTGGTGGCCACATACTTTTGGCCATACATTAATCAGCCATAACATTAAAACCTCGGACAGCTGAAGTGAACAACATCTTGTTACAGTGGCACCTGTCAAAGGTGCCATTATATTTTAGGCATGTGCACAGTCTGTACTTGAAGTTGATGTGTTGGAAGCAGGAAAAATGGGCAGGCGTAAGGATCTGAGCGACTTTGACAAGGGCCAAATTGCAGTGGCTAGACGACTGGGTCAGAACATCTGCAAAATGGCAGGTCTTGTGGGGAGTTCCTGGTATGCAGTGGTCAGTACCGACCAAAAGTGGTCAAAGAAAGGCTACCTGGTGAACCAGCAACGGGGTCATGGGTGCCCAAGTCTCACTGGTGCGTGTGGGGAGCAAAGGCTGGCCCATTTGGTCTGACCCACCGGAGGGCTACTGTAGCACAAATTGCTGAAAAAGTAAATGCTGGCTATGATAGAAAGGTGTCAGAACACACAGTGCATTGCAGCTTGCTGCGTATGGAGCTGCATAACCACAACGGTCAGAGTTCCCATGCTGACCATTGCCCATGCTGACCATTGCCCATGCTGACCCCTGTCCACTGCTGAAAGCGCCTACAATGGGCATGTGTGACTGGGCCATGGAGCAATAAAAGATGGAGGTCTGGTCTGATGAGTCACGCTTCCTGTTACATCATGTGGACGGCCGGGTGCGTGTGTGTCATTTACCTGGGGAAGAGATGGTACCAGGATACACTACGGGAAGAAGGCAAGCCGGCGGAGGCAGTGTGAGGCTCTGGGCAATGTGAAGAAGAATTCAAGGTGTTGACTTGGCCTCCAAAGTCCCCAGATCTCACTCTGCTTGAGCAGCTGTTAGATGTGCTGAACAAACAAGTCCGACCCATGGAGGCCCCATCTCACATCTTGTAGGACCTAAAAGATCTGCTGCTGACGTCTTAGTGCTAGATACCACAGGACACCTTCAGAGGTCTTGTAGAGTCCATGGCTCAATGGGCCAGAGCTGTTTTGGTGGCACCTACACAAAATTTAAGCAGGTGGTTTTAATATTATGGCTGATCAGTGTATAGTATATCTGCAGATCAAGAGATTAGCCACAAAAAAAATTGCTGTTAATGTCACAGTAGAACATGTGATAGAATCAAACCAGTTAATATTCTGCAACAAATATATCATGTATCCCAATACAATACAATATTCTCTTCATGTACCAGCAGTTTGTGATGAACCAATCTTGATGATTTTCTTCCTGATTGGCACCTCACAGACCCTCAGGGAAGATGAACCTTTGATACTGAGCCTTCTCGATGATGCGTGTCGGATTTCCCTGAGCCTTTGCTCTCCCTCTCAGTTGTGCCATCACATATTTAAAAAGTTTGACTCCATACGCTTCTGTGTGTTCCCAGGTCCGGAGCACATAGCCCTCTGGAACTCTGCTCGCTGAGGACAGTCCCTACTGGAACCAAACCTTTCTGAGCCCCCCCCCCACTCCGTGGACATGCTGACTATTCATCACCCACCCCTACGGCCACATGCTTAATCTATATTTTTGTAGTCTTTCTTGCATTAGTGACTCGCTGTTGGGACGCACGTCGCTCCACAGCACCCTCTGTTTGCAGGCTGTGCTACACACTTCATTTTTTTCTGTTACCTGTAGACCTCTGTGAAGAGGACATGCCTCTTTCCGCTGATATGTGCTCAGCACCTGTGTCTCCCTCTCTCACACCAGCCTGTGTCTTCGCGCCTGCCTCTTCATGGCCTTAATCTGTACTGACCTGGTTCTCACAGAGACACTCTACAATGCCCTTCCACCTCACAAACCATGCTGCCACATCTTCTGGGCCCTGAACCCCCTCTGTGGGCTGCAGCTCCCCCAAACCAGTCTTTGGTAAACAGATACCCACCCCCCACCAATGGGGCTTGAGAATGTGGGGGCTTCCTCTCCTCAGCCTGAAGGATCCGTCCCCCTTTCTGCCACCTCTGTGTTCCTGAGCTCAGTTTTATCCAGCAGGCGACAGCTTAGGTGTAGAGCTGGCTGTCAACATCACCGTTCTGTGTGCGATGACCTGCTGAGTCACAATATGCCGTCTTACGCGTTACTCATGCCGGTAAGAGGTGAGCAGGTAGGTCAGCCAAGGCAGCTGCTGATTGCTGTCGCATAGATTAAATGTACTTATGACCGGCTCTTTTAGTTAACTTATGTTTTATTTTGTGCACCGAATGTATGCTGTGATTACTGTTTTACTCATTCATAAAACAATTTCAATAAATTTTAGAATAATACCTGTACTTGTCTTTTTCCATGCATGTCTACAAGTGGGTGTATGTGTATGTGTGTGTGTGTCTGTGTGTATGTATGTCTGTGTGTGTCTGTGTGTATGTATGTCTGTGTGTGTGTATGTGTATGTCTGTCTGTGTGTGTCTGTGTGCGTGTGTGTATGTATGTGTATGTCTGTCTGTGTGTGTTGTGTCTGTGTATGTCTGTGTATGTGTGTGTCTGTGTGTATGTCTGTGTATGTGTATGTCTGTGTGTGTGTGTGCGCGTGTGTGTGTGGATCAGATATACACTGCACTCTGGGGACCAAGTATCTCCACAATGTCATAAAAAACTTATTTTGATGTTGTAGGGACCATTTTTTCGGTCCCCACAAGGGGAATTGCAATTTTATAAAAATCTGCAATCAAAAAATTTAAAAAGCCAAAAGTCTTGTATTTTGCTTGGTTACTTATAGTTAAGGTTAGGTCTTGGTTGGAGTTAAGGTTTTCATTGTTGTGGTTATAGAAATGAATGGATGGTCCCCACAAAGATATGAGTACAGGTCTGTGTGTGTGTGTGCGTGTGCGTGTGTGTGTGTGTGTGTGCATTCTGGGCCACCAGAGCAATGGGAGTGGTCATCACCAACATTAGGCTTAGATTTCGGCTGTGCTGGAGACCCAGGAAGTAGCCAATATTACCCAGGGGATGCTCAGAATCAGACTTGTAACTAGGGATTAGCATAACGCAGGAGGCGGGGCTGTTAAATGTCAGTGTGGCAGCGCAGACCAGTTAGCGCTGATTTAGACGAGGACAGGTGTGTCTCGTCTTCATGGGCCCTGCCGAGTCCATCTGGCGTCGTTTTCCGGGAATGGATTCTAAGCTGGGCATTTCCATTGTGATTTCTCAGAGAGAGAGAAAATGGGTTTTTCAACAAACGCTGCAGAAATCTTTGTGTTTTTCACGGTGCTGCTGTAAGCCGGTGATAATAGACAATAGCACAATTTGGATGATTTTGCACCCCCGAATCAATTACACTTCTTCTTCGGTAATCTCTCCCCCCCACCCCATTTCAGCTGTCTCAATAAATCCTTATCACCACCTTTGAGTTAGTTTTCCAAATAACAAATGACTGAAGATTATACTCCAGCTAGAACTGCTTTGTATTGGCCAGTCAGCTGTATTTTCTGAGGTATTATTTGGCAAAGCAAATCCCCAAATTCTCAGATCTTCAGACTGTGCAACCTTCCTTATTCTCTCACTTCTTGTCCCTCCACCTCTTCCAGCCTCTCCCCCACATAGTGATTAAGTTAATCAGATAAACATGTCACCATTAAAATTTGGGCACAGTTGTATGAAATTCTTAGAAAATACTATTTTATTCTGTCTATAAAGAGGGGGCATAGCAAATTTTGTGTGTGTGTGTGGGGGGGGGGCATCCAGAAAACCCCCCCCCCCACCATAAAACCCTGCTGGGTATGTGATTGATACCCTGGCTAGTGATTTTAAAAGCATCGTTATGAACCATCACCACAACATGTCAGTGGTAAACAGTGAGGAACCAAGTGGCCCACCCCATGTTCTCTGTGGGACTGGACCCCATGTTCTCTGTGGGACTGGGTAGGAAAATCAATAGGTTTCATTTATGAAGAGTAATCTGTTACACCGTGGCACAAACGTTATCGATTCTGCAGTAAATACCGAAAAGCATTAAAAGTGAAAGTCACTAAAACAGTAAAAGTCACTAAATAGCCCAAACATCTCTGGCTGGAGACCCATGAACGTGATTTATACTGTGTCTCAGTTCCAGCGTGACACAACACGCATCAAAAAAACATCTAGATGTGTCTGTTCCCACAGGTAACTGTGAGCTGTTGGAGCTCTGATTTAACCCTGAGCTGCTGGAATGTGTGTGATCGTCCTTTCTGTCCACTGACCTGTGCTTTAAATGTAGATAATATATGTATCTTACAAATGTATACAAGCAGCAGCCTGAGTGCTCCTCAAGCCCAAAATTGCAGCCCAATTCTTGGCACCTGAGTCAAGGAAACTTTGGTCACCAACATGCAATAACACAATATATTTTAGTGTTTGGCAGACCAAGACATTGTGATGGCAGCAGGTGACAAGGAGGCTTCTTTTAACGAGGAAAGAATGTCCTTTTATTAAGCTCTAGAAAGACTAATGCACGTACCAAACAAAACGTAAAGGGACAAACATAAGGAGGTCTGATATCGGACACTAAAGCACACACACTTTGGGTAGTTTACACAGTAAGTAGAGACCTGCGAGGATTTGACAGGGTTCACGCAAGACTCAGGCGAGGGCACGCATGATAATCGGTAACACAGCAAGTATTAATATCACACATAGGGGCTATTTACAAACATTTCCCAGCATGCTTTACACTCTTACTGGGTTCCGCTATGTGTAGCCATTCTGCTGGCATGACAATATAATTAGCCCCTTTGTTTACGTGCAAACAAAGCACTTTGTGTCCAGTGCGAAGGTGTTTACCTTTATCTGGAGGCAGGAGGTCACAGGGGGTCAGGTGGTTGGGTCTGGGAAGGCGGGACAAGTGGAAGGGCAAATGAACTCAAAGCAGCTGCACATATGCGTGTGTATGTGCACCACAGGGAGTCTGGCATGTGCACATACGTGTCGTCCGTGGAGGTGTGCGTGTGCTCCTGCTGGTCTAGGCCTGCTTGTGGCACTCAACGATAAGATGCCTGTAAAAAGGGGATTTCAGTACAATGCGGTTG